ATTTCCGAGCCGTAAACACTCTAAATGAACTAAAACTTGTGAAATTGCTTTTTTAAGGTTGTTTCAAGCCACAAATATTCATAACTAAGCATATTAGGTGTAATATAGAGTTAAATCAAGAATTGAGCAAAAAACATGGAAAATGGGCAAGTTAGAACTCATTTAGGCCATTTCGAGCCGTAAACACTCTAAATGAACCTAAACTTGTGAAATTGCTTTTTAAGGTTGTTTTCAAGCCACAAATATTCATAACTAAGCATTTAGGTGTAATATAGGAGTTAAATCAAGAATTGAGCAAAAAACATGGAAAATGGGCAAGTTAGAACTCATTTAGGCCATTTCGAGCCGTAAAACACTCTAAATGAACCTAAAACTTGTGAAATTGCTTTTTTTAGGTTGTTTCAAGCCACAAATATTCATAACTAAGCATATTAGGTGTAATATAGCAGTTAAATCAAGAATTGAGCAAAAAAACATGGAAAATGGGCAAGTTAGAACTCATTTAGGCCATTTCGAGCCGTAAAACACTCTAAATGAACCTAAAACTTGTGAAATTGCTTTTTTTAAGGTTGTTTCAAGCCACAAATATTCATAACTAAGCATCTTAGGTGTAATATAGGAGTTAAATCAAGAATTGAGCAAAAAACATGGAAAATGGGCAAGTTAGAACTCATTTAGGTCATTTCGAGCCGTAAACACTCTAAATGAACCTAAAACTTGTGAAATTGCTTTTTTTAGGTTGTTTCAAGCCACAAATATTCATAACTAAGCATATTAGGTGTAATATAGCAGTTAAATCAAGAATTGAGCAAAAAACATGGAAAATGGGCAAGTTAGAACTCATTTAGGCCATTTCGAGTCGTAAACACTCTAAATGAACCTAAAACTTGTGAAATTGCTTTTTTAAGGTTGTTTCAAGCCACAAATATTCATAACTAAGCATCTTAGGTGTAATATAGGAGTTAAATCAAGAATTGAGCAAAAAACATGGAAAATGGGCAAGTTAGAACTCATTTAGGCCATTTCGAGCCGTAAAACACTCTAAATGAACCTAACTTGTGAAATTGCTTTTTTTAGGTTGTTTCAAGCCACAAATATTCATAACTAAGCATATTAGGTGTAATATAGCAGTTAAATCAAGAATTGAGCAAAAAAACATGGAAAATGGGCAAGTTAGAACTCATTTAGGCCATTTCGAGTCGTAAACACTCTAAATGAACCTAAAACTTGTGAAATTGCTTTTTTAAGGTTGTTTCAAGCCACAAATATTCATAACTAAGCATCTTAGGTGTAATATAGGAGTTAAACCAAGAATTGAGCAAAAAACATGGAAAATGGGCAAGTTAGAACTCATTTAGGCCATTTCGAGTCGTAAACACTCTAAATGAACCTAACTTGTGAAATTGCTTTTTTAAGGTTTTTTCAAGCCACAAATATTCATAACTAAGCATCTTAGGTGTAATATAGGAGTTAAATCAAGAATTGAGCAAAAAACATGGAAAATGGGCAAGTTAGAACTCATTTAGGCCATTTCGAGCCGTAAACACTCTAATGAACCTAAAAGTTGTGAAATTGCTTTTTTAAGGTTGTTTCAAGCCACAAATATTCATAACTAAGCATATTAGGTGTAATATAGCAGTTAAATCAAGAATTGAGCAAAAAAACATGGAAAATGGGCAAGTTAGAACTCATTTAGGCCATTTCGAGCCGTAAACACTCTAAATGAACCTTAAACTTGTGAAATTGCTTTTTAAAGGTTGTTTCAAGCCACAAATATTCATAACTAAGCATCTTAGGTGTAATATAGCAGTTAAATCAAGAATTGAGCAAAAAACATGGAAAATGGGCAAGTTAGAACTCATTTAGGTCATTTCGAGCCGTAAAACACTCTAAATAAACCTAAAACTTGTGAAATTGCTTTTTTAAGGTTGTTTCAAGCCACAAATATTCATAACTAAGCATATTAGGTGTAATATAGCAGTTAAATCAAGAATTGAGCAAAAAACATGGAAAATGGGCAAGTTAGAACTCATTTAGGCCATTTCGAGTCGTAAACACTCTAAATGAACCTAAAACTTGTGAAATTGCTTTTTTTAGGTTGTTTCAAGCCACAAATATTCATAACTAAGCATATTAGGTGTAATATAGGAGTTAAATCAAGAATTGAGCAAAAAACATGGAAAATGGGCAAGTTAGAACTCATTTAGGCCATTTCGAGCCGTAAACACTCTAAATGAACCTAAAACTTGTGAAATTGCTTTTTTTAGGTTTTTTCAAGCCACAAATATTCATAACTAAGCATATTAGGTGTAATATAGGAGTTAAATCAAGAATTGAGCAAAAAACATGGAAAATGGGCAAGTTAGAACTCATTTAGGCCATTTCGAGCCGTAAACACTCTAAATGAACCTAAAACTTGTGAAATTGCTTTTTTTAGGTTGTTTCAAGCCACAAATATTCATAACTAAGCATCTTAGGTGTAATATAGGAGTTAAATCAAGAATTGAGCAAAAAACATGGAAAATGGGCAAGTTAGAACTCATTTAGGCCATTTCGAGCCGTAAACACTCTAAATGAACCTAAACTTGTGAAATTGCTTTTTTTAGGTTGTTTCAAGCCACAAATATTCATAACTAAGCATATTAGGTGTAATATAGCAGTTAAATCAAGAATTGAGCAAAAAAACATGGAAAATGGGCAAGTTAGAACTCATTTAGGCCATTTCGAGTCGTAAACACTCTAAATGAACCTAACTTGTGAAATTGCTTTTTTAAGGTTGTTTCAAGCCACAAATATTCATAACTAAGCATCTTAGGTGTAATATAGGAGTTAAACCAAGAATTGAGCAAAAAACATGGAAAATGGGCAAGTTAGAACTCATTTAGGCCATTTCGAGTCGTAAACACTCTAAATGAACCTAACTTGTGAAATTGCTTTTTTAAGGTTTTTTCAAGCCACAAATATTCATAACTAAGCATCTTAGGTGTAATATAGGAGTTAAATCAAGAATTGAGCAAAAAACATGGAAAATGGGCAAGTTAGAACTCATTTAGGCCATTTCGAGCCGTAAACACTCTAAATGAACCTAAAACTTGTGAAATTGCTTTTTTAAGGTTGTTTCAAGCCACAAATATTCATAACTAAGCATATTAGGTGTAATATAGCAGTTAAATCAAGAATTGAGCAAAAAACATGGAAAATGGGCAAGTTAGAACTCATTTAGGCCATTTCGAGCCGTAAACACTCTAAATGAACCTTAAACTTGTGAAATTGCTTTTTTAAGGTTGTTTCAAGCCACAAATATTCATAACTAAGCATCTTAGGTGTAATATAGCAGTTAAATCAAGAATTGAGCAAAAAACATGGAAAATGGGCAAGTTAGAACTCATTTAGGTCATTTCGAGCCGTAAACACTCTAAATAAACCTAAAACTTGTGAAATTGCTTTTTTAAGGTTGTTTCAAGCCACAAATATTCATAACTAAGCATATTAGGTGTAATATAGCAGTTAAATCAAGAATTGAGCAAAAAACATGGAAAATGGGCAAGTTAGAACTCATTTAGGCCATTTCGAGTCGTAAACACTCTAAATGAACCTAAAACTTGTGAAATTGCTTTTTTAGGTTGTTTCAAGCCACAAATATTCATAACTAAGCATCTTAGGTGTAATATAGGAGTTAAATCAAGAACTGAGCAAAAAACATGGAAAATGGGCAAGTTAGAACTCATTTAGGCCATTTCGAGCCGTAAACACTCTAAATGAACCTAACTTGTGAAATTGCTTTTTGTAGGTTTTTTCAAGCCACAAATATTCATAACTAAGCATATTAGGTGTAATATAGCAGTTAAATCAAGAATTGATTAAAAAACATGGAAAATGGGCAAGTTAGAACTCATTTAGGCCATTTCGAGTCGTAAACACTCTAAATGAACCTAAAACTTGTGAAATTGCTTTTTTAAGGTTGTTTCAAGCCACAAATATTCATAACTAAGCATCTTAGGTGTAATATAGGAGTTAAATCAAGAATTGAGCAAAAAACATGGAAAATGGGCAAGTTAGAACTCATTTAGGCCATTTCGAGCCGTAAACACTCTAAATGAACCTAACTTGTGAAATTGCTTTTTTTAGGTTGTTTCAAGCCACAAATATTCATAACTAAGCATATTAGGTGTAATATAGCAGTTAAATCAAGAATTGAGCAAAAAAACATGGAAAATGGGCAAGTTAGAACTCATTTAGGCCATTTCGAGTCGTAAACACTCTAAATGAACCTAACTTGTGAAATTGCTTTTTTAAGGTTGTTTCAAGCCACAAATATCCATAACTAAGCATCTTAGGTGTAATATAGGAGTTAAATCAAGAATTGAGCAAAAAACATGGAAAATGGGCAAGTTAGAACTCATTTAGGCCATTTCGAGCCGTAAACACTCTAAATGAACCTAAAACTTGTGAAATTGCTTTTTTTAGGTTTTTTCAAGCCACAAATATTCATAACTAAGTATCTTAGGCGCAAAAAAAAAAGAAAAAAAGACCAAAATGAGTGCAAAAAAAAAAAAAAAACCGAAAACCGGGCGGGAAGGGCAGCGTGTGCACAGCGAGGAGGCTGCACAGCTGCTGCAGTTCTGCACAGCTTCTGCGCAGCTGCTGCAGTGCTGCACAGTGCTGCACAGCTGCAGCCTCCTCGCTGTGCTGCAGCCTCCTCGAGAAGAAAGAGAAGGAGGAGGAGGAGGAGGAGGAGGAGGAGAAGGAGAAAGAGAAGGAGAAGGAGAAGAAAGAGAAGGAGAAGGAGAAGGAGAAGAAAGAGAAGGAGAAGGGAGAGAAGGAGAAGGAGAAGAAAGAGAAGGAGAAGGAGAAGAAAGAGAAGGAGGAGGAGGAGGAGAAGGAGAAGAAAGAGAAGGAGGAGAAGGAGGAGAAGGAGAAGGAGAAGGAGAAAGAGAGGAGGAGGAGAAGGAGAAGGAGGAGGAGAATGAGGAGAAGGAGAAGCAGACAACAACAACACATCACATCAACAAATTAAAGCAACACAAACAACACAACACAGCGAAGAAACACCATTTCACAGCCAACTTAACCATTTCACAACACAATCCAAAAACCAATATCATTATCCAAACAAGTAAGTAAAAAATCACCTGTAGAATAGGAAAGTCATGAGGTGTCAGAGTATCAAGCCCCCTTGAGTTCGCATGTGAAGGAGTACCAATCTGCAATAGTGTATTGATAGTGAAACATTAATTAGAACCGTACCCACGTAACTCAACATATCAAAACTTATAGAGTTGAATTCTAATCACGTACCTCCTCGCGTGCATTTATCTCCTGTTCTCCTTCTCTTCGTGGGTGGCTACTTGAGTCGGCCGGTGTTGTCGAGGAAAAAGGCAAGGTCGGCAAATTCATTTGCTTCGCCCATGCATTGAACTCTTCGCGCATCTCATTGCGCACTTGTTCTTTAATTGATGCCACTGTGGCATCGAAGTTCTGTGGCGAGTTCACACTTGCTCCGGATCTTCCAGATTTGGTATATTCGGGACCCATTACCTTCTCCCATCCTAGCAAGCTCCCCCCAGCATATAATACCCGTCCCGGATGGTAGGGTTTTCCCATAGCCAAGGTGAAGGGATCCTTCTCTACCGTCGGGACGAGCTTGCCTTCAACAAGCTCTCCGGTGTACTCAAGCTGTAGCAAAAACAAAATGGCAACATAAAGTAAGTGTTTATATAAAGTGATATACATGCAAATGAATAAAGTAGTTCACTGGTTCATAGTTGCTTACTAGCTTATCTGTCATTTATTTGGTTTCCGGAGCCTTGATGGACCATTTTCCGGTCTTCTTGTCCCGCGAATGCATAGAGCAAAAGAAATCCCCAGCACGACTCACCAAAGTACTGGTCGTGGAGTCAGACGGCGCTGTGGAGGACCCTAGAAGCGCAGTGGGGTATACTCCTTCACTCACCCACGTATCCCTCCATTCATCATACGTCATTGCTCCCATATGATGGTGGTATTGCTTTTGCAACGCATTCCTGGAATTCTGCTCCCTCATTTCCTACATAAAAAGATATATATGTTAGTTTCATTACTAATAAAAAAGACGATAAATTACAACACAATTTTCATCAGAGTTCTTTAAACTTACAATTTCTTCTTTTTTACATTTTTGATGAACGAAAGCCTCCCAATCATCCTTCGATATGCTAGGCCATATTTTCCAAGGGAGTTTCTCTTCATCGTTGACATCATCATCACTGCCACCTCCTTTCTTGTTCTTTGGTTTCCTCACAAGTTTCTTTGTGATAAACCGACGAACTAAGTTACACTTGAAGCTTCTGAATCTTGCCGCAAGTAAGGATTCAAACACCCTTCGCTTGGCGTACTCATTTGGAATGTTAAATAGACTCTGCAAGCACATATAACAAACATTATTTGTTTTCCAATAACATAACAATAAATTGAAATTGTTTATAAATAATCACATCAAATCAAACTTACCCTGGTATCATTCCAAAACGTGTCAATCAAGCCTGTAGGTACGTCGCTCTACGAAGCGTAATGGGGATTTTGCGCGCACAAATCCCAACTTGACCAGCATACTGACGACGCCATTTACCTGAGGGTTGCCCTACCCTGTCATACTCCAAGACCATAGGACCGACAGGTTTCTTGAAAGTTGTCGTCGGACCCCTCTGCTTTTTCTTGGCTGGTGCCTGCACCCCCCCTCCACTTTGATCCTCACGAAACGGCTCCATCATGTCATTATCGATTGGAGGCGCTTGCTCAGCTGCAATTTCAAAGTCATCTATCATTCTCTCCAATACATCTTGCACCTGATCTTCTGGCTCACCCAAATCAGTTTCCTTGTTCACATCATACGGCTGGTCCCCATCATTAGATGAATCATCTGAGTTAGATTCAACATCCTCAACTCGAACACGGAATCGATCGTCCGCCATTAGATGTTAAAACCTGTCATTACAAACATAACACGTTATTAGCTGCTGAATTGTAAGGTAAACTTATAATCACAAATAAATTGCTAAATTATAATACAAATAAACATAGAAAATGGTGAAGCAAGTTACTTTATGTCATTTAAAAGAATATAAGAAAAATGGGCAAGTAATTCAACAATTTCATTCATTTTCACCTAAAATGTGATTTTTTAATTCTTTCTACGCCTGCAATTCAAACTAACAGAAAATATACAGTACCTCAATCTAATATTCCTTCATCGTGGTCTGATCTCATGTAATTGGCTTGGTCGTCTATCTCACTTGGCACAGCAGGTCTAGGAACAGTGAAAGGTGCCGAGTCATCAAAGGCATCATATTCTTCCTCATCCTCGACATCTCCAACGCCAAGGATTCTTCTTTTGCCGGCTAGCACAATAGACCATTTTGAGTCGGCAGGGTCAGATACGTAAAACACCTGCTTAGCTTGAGATGCAAGGATGAATGGTTCCGCACTATCATTCAGGTTGCCAAGATCTACAAGTGTAAAGTCATCAAATTTGACGTTACGCCTGATATTATCAACCCACTTACACCGGAAAAGAGCAATCGTGAAGTCACAATAATCAAGCTCCCATATTTCTTGAATTCGACCATAGTATGACAACTCTGCATCAACGGGTGATTTATCCTTAGCACTTGCAAACTCCCTTGACGATGCCACAACCGTTACACCACTGTTTTGGGTCGAGGACGATTTCAAATCTTGACGCTCCGTCCAAAATGTGTACCCATTTATGTCATATCCCTCAAATGAGCGAACATCATCCCTAGGACCATAAGCAAGCCACCTTACTGTAGCTGTGACACTCTCATCCATTCCACCCATCACTCGATCACGAAACCAACTCACAAACTTCTTATTGTGCAACTGCATCAGTGCCCTTTCACCTTTCGACGGAAACTCATCACGCAAACTAGCCATGTGCTCGTCTAAATATGGGTGAACATCTGCAACATGGTGCAACACATAAAGGTGTGCTTGTAAGAACTTCTCTCGATCAGGTGACATTCGTTTCGACCCGATTGTGCCATGACCATCAAGTCTACCTTCATGTCGAGAAGTAGGAATACCAATAGGTTCAGCAACGGCTACATAGTCAGCCACAAAATTACCAATCTCCTCGGCCATGGTCCCTTGAATCATACTTCCTTCCGGGTGAGCCCGATTCCTAACTTTATCTTGCAATGTACCCATGTGTCTTTCAAAAGGATAGCACCACCTCAAGAACACTGGACCGCACAACTTAATCTCACGCACCAAATGAAGAATCAAATGCACCATTATGTCGAAAAACGAGGGCGGGAAGTACATCTCAAATTTGCACAAAGTCACAACCACATCCGCCTGTAAAGCATCAAGGGTACAAGGATCAAGCACTTTGCTACATATTGTATTGAAAAACGAACAGAGGCTTGTAATAGCTTCCCTCACGTGCTTTGGCAAAATACCACGTATTGCAATTGGTAGAAAAACTTGCATCAGAACATGACAATCATGGGATTTCATACTTGTCAGCTTCAATTCTCCATTTAAGGATACAAATCTTTTCATGTTAGATGCGTACCCTGATGGAACCTTAATGCCATACAGACATTCACAAAACCTCCGTTTTTCTACCCTTGACAATGTGTAGCAAGCCGGAGGTAAATAGGTCTTCCCCTCTTTGGCATTTCCCTCATTTTTCTTCTTTGACGCATCCGCGGCCTTTCCCTTTCCCTTTCTCTTCCCCTTTCCCTTTTTTGTACCCATTTCTTTTTCCTTTTCCTGTTCCTTTCCCTTACTAACCCTTAGCTGAACCCACAATTCTGGACGCACCCCCATCTTTTCCAAATCTAAACGTGCACCCTTTCCGTCCTTTGTCTTGTTTTGATATTCATCAGCGTTCCCACAAGAGCGTCACACACATTCTTCTCTATATGCATTACATCAAGACAGTGCCTAACGTCAAGTTCTTTCCAGTACAGGAGCAACCAAAAGATTGATTCTTTTTTAAAGAGAGCAACTGATTCCGCCGCTTTTTCAGATTTCCCAAATACTGTTTGTACACCCTTAACCCGAGCGTAAACCTCCTCACCAGTCAGTGGCCTAGGAGAAGTCCCCTCTTTCACCGTCCCATCGAAAGCCTTTTTCTGCCGATGGTACGGGTGATCGCGCCTGAGCAGCCTTCTTGTCCTCAAATACACCTGTTTGAAAGAATGATCAAGGCGTCTGCTTGGCGTATCATCAATACAAGTTGGACATGCCGTTTTCCCTTTATTCTTATACCCAGACAAGTTGCCATATGCAGGAAAATCATTAACGGTCCATATAAGAGCTGCACGCAATGTGAACATCTCGTTCTTATGAGCATCAAACACGGAAACCCCTTCGTCCCACATCTTTCTCAAATCATCAACCAATGGCGCAAGATACACATCTATGTCGTTTCCAGGTTGTCTTGGCCCCGATATCAAGAGTGAAAGCATTACATATTTCCGTTTCATGCACAGCCAAGGAGGCAAATTGTAGATCACTAAAAGTACCGGCCATGTGCTATGCTGGGTACTAAGAGTGCCAAATGGATTCATCCCGTCCGTGCACAAACCAAGCCTTAAATTTCTGACTTCATCACCAAATTCCCCAAACTTCATATCAAGGTTCTTCCATTGCGGGGAGTCGGCTGGGTGCTTCAGCATTCTGTTTTTCTTTCTTCCCTCTGCATGTCACCTCAAGTTTTTAGCGTCTTTTGGTAAAGAGAACAGACGCTTAAACCTTGGAATTATGGGAAGATACCACAACACCTTAGCAGGAGGTCCCTTCGTACCATCATTGCAACTCTTGCGCTTGTAGCGCGACTTCTTGCATCTTGGACACTCCTCCAATTGTTCATATTCATTTCGGTAAAGAATACAATCATTAGGACATGCATGTATCTTCTTATACTCCAAACCAAATGGACACATGAGCTTCTTAGCGTAATAGTAAGACTTAGGAATTTCATTCCCATCGGGCAACATCTCACTTAACACGCTCAACAAGGAAGTAAAACTACTGTCCGTCCACCCATGCTTCGACTTAATGTTAAAAAGAGTAAGCACGGCTGATAGTTTGGAGTATTTTTTGCACCCAGGATACAAAGGCTTTTTAGAAGCCTCCGATAATGACTCAAACACGTCACCTTCAAAACCACGCATCATCTCATCCACACCTTCATCCTCAACCTCATCCACATGATCATCCTCAAATCCCTCCTCAGCACCATCATCATCAATATGTTCATCATTCTTGTATTCCTCGTCCACACGGATATCATTGCTTCTATCATCATGCACATCATACCCAATAACATCCCCACTGTACTCTCCTTCTTCACCATGCCAAATCCACACATGATATTTAACCCTAAACCCACGACAAATTACATGATCTCTAATGATATCAACACTATTGACCACCTTCACATTATTACAATCAACACAAGGACAATAGAGGCACTCGAAACCCATTCTGCGCTGATAAGATGAAGCCGTCTCGCAAAACTCTTGAACCCCATTAAAGAATTCCAATGTATCACATCTACCATACATCCATCCACGATCCTTCTCCATTAAGTAAATTGTCTCTAAACATGGCAACATATTACGAATGATAATGTATAATTGCTACATCTACTATATATATAAATCAAATTCAAACACACACCATGCATATAACTTTCATATACATACACAAATGAATATATGCTTCCAAAGGGTCCTTATCACTCCAACCTAACCCATCCTTGAACGTTTACTCTCACTAGTGAATGTATGTCAACTTTCCAATTTTAAGGAAAATCCGACAGCATTTCCCCCCAATTCTCCAAGTACACGACGTAGGTAATTACTTACCCACATATGTACCCAGAGAACATGGTGATCGAGGAAATGGTAAGCCAAGATGTTCCTTAAAATCGAAAAAGAGACATACATTCATCGCCTAAGTGAGAGTAAACGTTCAAGAACAGTCCCAACCGGGGACTATTCAAGACTTTCTCCTAATGAAAAAGCCTTGAACGGGTATCTAGGCATATGATGATGCAATGCAAACATTTCATATATTTATTGTTGTATTTAGTTTGTCATTATATAATACACAAATCTAATATCTAGCATGAAAAAACTTTTATTAAAACAATAATAGAGAGAAAGAAATATTTATAGCTTAGAGAAGTTTATAATTCATACCAACACAATGGATGTATTCTTTCTAACTTCCCACTTGAGCTTAATTAATGTGTAGTCTTCAAACTTAACTAGCTTGAACTTTAATTCACATATGAACCT